CCGGATGCTTACATGCTTGTGTGGGGACGGACATTCGCTACGGTTAGTTATGCCGACTGCGGAGCCGAGTAGCAGAGGTTAACGATGGTTGAGAAAAATGGTGTTTCAGGAAGCTGATTGGACCTCTATGGCGGCAGGTGGGCGTTGCGGAGCAGGGAGTGCGTGCGGCGGCTCATGACACTGAGGGTGCATGCACGCAGAGCTCTGTAGAGTGCCGCAGGAGGCAGCGACTGATTCGACGGCTCGGTTATGATGGCGGTCGAACGATTGATGACTGGGCGGAGTGAGAGGTCCCACAGAGCACCTCTGCCCAGGAATGGCAGTGGCTGGCAGCAGGAGCATGAGCTTTCGCAGCGACGTCTTCAGATTTGCTGTAAAGCATGACGAGCGCCGGCTTCAACAATGGTTTTAATGGCTGCATAAATCCGCAGACCCATGGTGCATGTACCGCCCTAAGTGCCATAGGGGCTTGAAGCAACGAGAAAGAATTTCAAGACAACACTGGGTCCATAAATGCTTGCTCGAGAACGCGCATTGGCTGCCTCTAGGGCTACTCGTGCGGAGTGGGTCAACAGCGACCATTGCTGGTTGGGAAGATTCGCGATAGATTAGGTCGCACTTGGTGTCTGCTGCAGCAGGTTGCTTGGCCACGTTAGAGACTGCCTGTGGGGCCGCAAAAGCTGAGGCTGCGTGTGAGCAACCTTGTGTAGAGTGCGACTGCAAATGGCGCTGGATTAACCTGTTCCGTTGTGTTAGCGGTTGGCACTTTGTTGACTGCCCAGCCGAACGAATCCCACAGAACGCATGCGCTCAGGAATGGTAGAGGGTACTAGGTTTAACGTCGACGTTAGGAGGGCACTTTTCATTGTGCACGTGGGGAGGCATGAGCGGAGGTGCGATGGCGACGATAATTATTTGGACAGCAGCACGCGTTTGGCGAACCAACGTGTAGCTTCTGCAACAAATTGCATAGGGTTTGCGGCCAACGCCGACGGCTATCAAGTGTATGTTGCAAAGACAAACGCTTGTGCGGGCCCCGAGATTAGTTACTTTTAGGAGTGCAAGCGGTAGAGTAGGTCAGAAACGATAGCCGCTAGCTGGGAAGATTGGGGACGCAGTATGTCGCATTTGGAGTTTTGAGCAGCAAATGGCTGGTGCGTAGCAGAGAGTGCGTGCGGTGGCTGGCAAAGCTGAGGCTGCTGGGGCGCAGGCATTTGTAGAGTGCGGGTGAAGATGGCAGTTGGCTCGACTATTTGTTGATGACGGGGGCTGGAGGTTTGTTGACTGCCGATCCGCACGGA